ATATAGATGTGACATATATTAATAATTCAGCACACAATAGCCCTGAATATGTCACGAGTACGGCTGATCAACAGGTAACAGATTCAAGTTGCTCCGATGATGGGTCATCCTACGACAGCGATACTGAAAATTCATGTTATAACCGAAGGCGATATTCTTTTAATATTTATGATGACATTAAATCTCGAGAATTGCCAATATGTCATCATAGAAGGTCAAAATCTTTTACAACTGCTGAATTGGCTCTAAAGCAAGGTGCTCGCTCATTACCTAGGTATGTAATTAGATTAAAATCTAGATGTTGAATATTTTATTTTTATTTTTTTTTGTTCAAGCTGCATTCTCATAAATTATAGGCGAACATTTGAAGTTGACATTCAAACGTACATGATTTATAAGAATCTTAAAGTACGAGAGGCAAAATTAGAAGAACTGATAAAGCATTTAAAAGTATATTAACTCTATTCATTTAGATTCTAATTTTATTTTTGTATTTTAATTAATTTTAATTGATCTTGATCAATTTATAGTCGACTGCTAAAATATATGATGACCAAATTGAGCAATTGTCCAATGCATATGAAGAAAGATATCAAACCTTCAAAGTAAGCAAGTAAATTAGTAGTTCAAAAAAATGGTTTTTTTATATAGTTATTATATATCTTGTCCTTTCCATTTCCGAAATAGTCAACGGAAGAAAATAGTTCAAAAATATTGTCCAAACAAAAAAAAGTATCTGAAGCTGTAAAACAAATTTATAATGATGCAACTGCTAAAGGAAAGTTAAATTATGAATTGAGCTTATTGGAAGATAAGTTAAAGGAAATTGATGAGTTTATTGAACAATTTTGTTTTAAGGTTTGTTTTATTAACAATCAGCTATTTTTTAATTTCCTTAAAATCTATTTTTATTTTGGTTATTTAAATTATTTTAATTGCTTATATAAGGTTCAAGTCATGGAAACCAAATTACCACATTCATCAGGAACGGTAAAGGCTTTATTTAACATTTGGAACTATCTTCAGGGACAATGGAATATAATTACATCACGTTTATATAACAGAAAATCAGAAGAGGATAAAGAATAACAATGCTACTATTTATACATAGATTCATATTAAAAATGCATGCATCTACGCTTTTTTTTATTTAATTTTTTCATATTAATCCAATATTCGGATGTACTTATTTAGAAAAAAAAATTTGTTACGTATCGAGTTTCTTGATTAACGTTACATAATCGCATAATATATCATATTTTTAGAGAATCAATTATTGTAATGTACTTGTATTAATAAAATTATATAGTTATAATTTATTCGACTTATTAATCCATACTGAATAAGAGATGTTACCTTGCAAGTTTAATGATGGCCGATTTATGTCTTTTCAGGAAAATGATTTTCGAAATTATAGTAATCCTCAATTTACATTTTACGTACCCCGCGTAAGATTGTGTCTGTGGTTTCGTGTGAGTAATTTGTTTCGAATACTGTATGTTTTAAATTTTTCATAACGAATGACTTATTTCGCACCCTAACAAACGATCTATCTCGCAGGTGATGTGATTCATCAAAACAATCGAATTAAGCGCAAGACTTAAAGCATTAAAACCTTATTGTTAGGATTAGGAAAGGACTTGGCACATACTAAAATTTTTCAAGGAATTTTTTTTATTAGAGCGCAAAAGGTGGTTTCATAAGCAAAATTATGAGTTACAAGCGAT